ATATATATATATATATATATATGGGTGTGGGTTTCCATATGGTTGCAACCTTACACAAATCCAATTAAGACGCACCTTCACATTTGATCATAACATATAATTTGATGTAAAATATTCTTAGGATTATCTCAAAATCTATTTTAATATCTAATTATAAAATTTTAAACTCCAAAAATGATTAAAGTCAAGTAGATCTACAACTATATGAAAATTTTAAAAATGGATGGTCTAGATAATGTGTTGTAAGACGCACTATATCAGGGACTCAAAATCCTTTTTTCTTTTATAATCATACATCTTGATGTCGAGATGCTCAATTAGAGGGTTTTTCAACATTAAAATAATATTTTCTAATAGGTTTTTGAGGTGCATCAGTAGTTCTACATTTTAAGGTTGCAACCTTGGATAAACTTTTTCCTATATTATATATGTATAGGTAGTGATTTCATGCATATGCAACAATCTTCAAAAACTATTTTAGGGCCATTTATTTTATCCAAATTTTAAAATATACACTTTTTTCATTCTAATGTACAAAAAAGAAAAAATTGAAACTACAACCTAGAAAATATTTGTTTAGCTCAATTAACATAAGCCGTCCATTTTGATAAGATGCTTAGATTTATGCTTTAGAAGGATTTTTTCTCTTCCAATTTTTTTAGATGGATTTATTATCATTAGATGAACAATGTTAAAAAAGCAAAAATGATTTTGAGTTTGTAAAGGCTAAAATCTTGAATTCACCGAATGAATGGTGTAGATTCGTTGTTCGAGGGAACTCATTTTGACTATATCTAAGGTTTAAATTGAATTTTTTTTTTTTTAATTGATTGTTGAGATGAAGAAATTATGAGTGTAAACTTTTGGGTCATACAAATACCACAAACATGATTTTCTATAAAAGAGAGATGTCTCTTAAATGCATTTGAGATAGAGAGATTGCATTTCTTTTGAATGCATCTATGATGGAGATATTTACATTTTTTTTTTTTTTTTGGGATAATGAGAGTGAGATTGCAAGAGAGTGTATTTTTAAAGATAAATACTCAATAAATGCGAGAAAGAGAGAGAGACTGCATCCCTCTTAAATACATCCAAGGGAAAGAGAGAGAATGAGAGATTGTATTTGGAGACGTTTTGGGCATGGTAAATTAGGTTAGGCAGATGACGAACCGTGTGAATGGACGAGAGTACAAGGGAAAGACAAATCTTGTACATAATGAGGGGGGCGGGGGGGGAGAGAGAGAAATATACTACACTGTAGCTCTTGCAAGATCTCTTTCTTGTAATGCCCTCACCGGTTTGTGACTTCGAAATTACCTCATCGTATAATATTTTAAGTATGTCTTGTAAAAACGAAAAACAATCAACAAAAATAAGAAGAAAAAACAAACACAAAAGAAAGATAAAACGAAAACAAGAAAAAAAAACAGACAAAAAAAAAAAGAGACAACCAACTATAACACAAAGATATACATAGTTCGACAACGTGCCTACATTCATAGGAGATGAGAGCTTATTTACTGGTAACGGATAATAGAGTTACAATAGGTCTCTCCATCGCAACAATATATATTAAATCGCAATAATGTATATCGACTCGCAACAATATATATAGAGTCCCAAATAGATGGTACAAATTATCGAAATACCCTCAAATATAAATATATATCAAATCTCATGTACGGATATCCGAAATTTTCCTCAGGGTCTGCTGCCCCCAAACCTTCGTAACGGTCGAGTCAACCAATTCTACCTAGCCGGACACTCCTCTAGGCATTTTACAGCCCTTCGAAGTCGTCTTTTTTACTCTATCTTGATAGATCTATTTCCTCATAATACAAGACATCAATAATCAATATGTATTACCTAAAACAATCTAAGTAAGTGCACCTCTAAATCATACTAAAAGATACAGTTTCGATGCCAAAAACTCTTACGATGGCATAAAAATGTGTTTTAACCACTAATTATAAAACTTAAAGCCCATAAATGGTGTAGATAACACAGATCCATAAACACTTAAGTTTTTTTTAAAATGGACAGATATATTACAAGATGTATTGTTTTTAGAATTTGAAATCCTTTTTTTATATCCAAACACCTTGAGATCAAAATGATCAATTGTAGGGTTTCTTGATGTCCAAACAATATTTTTGAATAGATTTTTGAGGTGCGTCTTACTTCTATAAGAAAAGGTTGACACCTTCTGTGAATTTTTTTTTATATATATTAGAAATGGAAAAAGTTTATATAATGTTACAACTTTGAAATGTAGCACTAAAGGTGCACCTCAAAAATCTATAATAAAAGGTTGTTTGGATATTGGAAAACCCTATAATCGATCATCTCATTATTGAGATATATGAATATGAAAAGAAAAAAAGATTTCGAGTTCGTGAAATAGTATATCTTGCAACACATTATCTCGACCGTCCATTTTCAAAATTTTCATGTATTTATAGATCTACTTGATTTGAACTATTTTTAGAGTTTAAAATTATACAATTAGATATGAAAATAGATTCTCGAGCCATCTTAAGAATTATTTATATCAAAATCTGATAAAATTTAAAGGTGCACTTTATTTGGATCACAACATTATGCAAACCACACCCATTAGAAATATACCTATATATCTCATTTTTAAAATTATAATAATAACAATCGTCCTTGATTTTGTATATTACAAGTATATCCCTTTTTGCTATCACTTGTTATTCCAAATTTACCCCTGAATCTGGAGATTGAATTTCGAAGTCATAAATGACTACAATTTTTCAATATCTCTAGTCATATTATTCTATTAAACTCACTTTTAAGGGAAAAAACAAAAATTACTTAGGATATTTAGAATATGAGGTCTAGTGACTTGGATTTTTGCGTTGTAATTGAGATTTTCATGCAACTTCGGATACTAAAATATCCGAAGTCAAGAATGATTTCAAAATTTCAATCTCTGGAACGGAGGTAAAATTGAAATAAAAAAAAAACAATGGACAAAAGATATATACATACCATATATTACAGAGAAAATTGCAAAAATCCCGCCAAATTACAATTTTGATGCACTATACCCATCCAACTTTTTCTAGCAAATACCCTCATTCAAAAGTTAATTTTTTTATACAAAAATACCCTTCCCTCACGTAACAAATTATTTTCGTTGAATAGGGCTGTCCGACATTTTGAACAGGCAGTCCGACGATTATTTTTGCTCAAATGGCCCATCCGACGTTTCATGGTGGCAGTCTCACGTTTATTTTTTTTGCTAGAATGGGCGGTCTAGCATTTTGAAGTTGCAATTCGGCATTTTAGAGGGGCAGTCCGCTGTTTTGATATGGCGATCCGGCATTTTGAAGGGCAATCCGGCGTTTTGATGTTGCGGTAAGGCGTTTTGAAGTGAGAAGTGAGAAGTCCGGTGTTGTACATGTGCGGTCTGACGTTTCTTTTTATTGGGATCTGAAAATGATTTGTTTCATGAGAGAAGAGTATTTTCGTAAAAAAAATTAACTTTTTGTATAGGGGTATTTGTTAGAAAAAATGATTTTTTGTGGAAAGTTGCTAGGAAAAGTTGGATGGGTAAAGTGTGTAAACAATCCATTTTATGGGGGTTTTTGTAATTTCTTTATATTAAAAGGGTTATGCTACACTATAGAGTAATTTGTCATTTACTCAACAATTTTGGACATATTTATACTCTTATTTTGTGCATGAAATTTTTTTTAATAAAGGTATTTTTTATCATTAGGAGTGGATGATGTCATCCACATGGAGTATAACATCGGAGCATTAAAAAGTTCAAGATAAAGAGAGTTGTATAGGGTGGGTTTTAAATTTGTATTCTATTTTTTAAAACAAGTTACTTTTGTGGGGTAATTTTGTAAATCTTACTACAAAATAAAATATACTTTTGTCATCTTTATAAGGGGTAAAATTGAAATGTTAACAAAATAACAATGACACTCTACAAATAAAGTTTTAGGATACTAACTCCCAAAATACGATTGTACTTTTATGAAAATTTCAAATTTGTCAATATGTGATGGTGAAATTACCTATTAAAATAATTTTTTAAATAAATTTAAGACATTAACTTTAAAAATGTTATTGTACTTTTGTGAAAATTTCAAATTTATCATTGTATGATGATAAAGTTATCTATTAAAATAATTTTTTAAATTAAAAATAATAATCTTTTTGATAAATATATATATCACAATACCTTCTAATTTGAACCTTCACATTTTGAGAGGTTGTTAACTATATATATATATATATTAATTTTTTTTTGATTTCAAGCTAGTATTGTATTATAGTATAATGCAAAGGTGTATTGGCGCAATCCTAACCCTAACATTTTGAATCCAACGGCTAAATATTTTATGAAACTATTCATCTCGTACTAAATTTTAAAAGTCATCTCAAAATTTGAATTTAATTTCCGTTTACCCTTTTCAATATTTTCATTCTTCACTCACTGTACTTTCCGTCTCCTCTTCCCCACTCCTCCCCTTTCTCTCTCCCCGTTCTTCTTGCCCCACTCCCAAACGTCCATTGTACCAATAAGGAGACCAGACAGGTTTCCTCTCTCTCTACAGCCCTCTCTTTCTCTCTTTTTCAGTCTCCTTCTCTCTCTATCCTTTTCTCAGTTTCCTCTCTCTCGCTTTCTCTCTCTACAATCATATCTCTGCCTCTTTCTCAGTCTCCTTCTCTCTCTCTCTCTCTTGTTATTCATGTATTTTACATCACGCCAATTCTATTTGTTGTACAGGCATGGTAAGAAGTTAGTTCTTCTGGTTTCCATCTCAAGCAACTTTAAGATGTGTGGCAAAATTTCAGGTCATCTCTGATGGCGCCTCCGATCTGCTGCACTTGAGTGGCTTGTGTCAAAAAATGGATATTTTAGAATTCCAGAATCTGTTCTAAGTCAATCTGCTCGAGTACAGGAAGAACCAAAGATAGTAGGTACTTCCTGTCTCTTTTCCTCTCTGATATATATTAA